AAGAGACTTGAACAGAAACTTCTCTGATGAAGACATAGGCATGGCCTACAAACATGCAAAAATGCTCATCATCCTTAATCAGAGAAATGCAAATCAAAACCACTTTGAGATATCATTTAACTCCAGTAAGATTAGCCCACATCACAAAATCCCAAAACTACCAGATGTTTGCATGGATGCAGAGAAAAGGGAACGCTTCTACACTGCTGGTGGGAATGCAAGCTACTAACGACCCTTTGGGAAAGAAGTTTGGAGAACACTCAAAGAACTAAAAGTAGACCTAACGTTCCATCCTGCAATTCCTCTACTAGGTATGTATACCTAGATGATCAAAAATTATTTTACAACAAAGACATCTGCACCAGAATGTTTATTGCAGCCCAATTCATAATAGCCAAGACATGGAAACAGCCCAAGTGCCCATTGACCCATGAATGTGTTCACAAATTGTATATGTACACCATGGGATAATATGCAGCCATAAAAAAGATGGAGACTTCACATCTTTTATGTTTACCTGGATGGAGCTAGAACATACTCTTCTTAGTAAAGTTTCTGAAGAATGAAAAAAAAGTATCCAGTGTACTCAATACTGCTATGAAATCATTATATAACCACTTACACACTAATACGAATAGCAAAACATAACTATAGTCCAGAAAGTAGAAGGGAAGAGGAGAGAGAGGGGATATGGGAGGAGGAAGGGTATTTGGGAGGACCTTACCTAATGTGCATGATGCAATGGTACATTTCAAAGCTATTAAGAAATGAGTATAATTGTGATGGATGTGTTACGTAGTTCAATGTATGCATTTCACATTGTATATTGAAGCAGTATCCTGAACCCCATAAATGCATCAATGTACAGAGTTATGATTTAATAAAAAATAATTAAAAAAAAATGAATGAGACAATATTCTAAAGGAGCACCACAACTAGTTAGGGAGATGGTACTGCTAGACTCAAGGTGAGACTCAATAATGTGCCAGATGCCATTTAAGTTACTGAGATCCAAAGGAAAAGACTAATCCTTTAAGAAAACGAAGAATAGTAATTAATGCTTGTAGTGCAGATGCCATGGGTGCTATAGCAGTGGTGCAAATACTTGGGGAAAGTGTCAACAAAGTAGTATTATCCAGAAAAGGTGATATTTCAGTTAAAGAATGAATGGAATTTATTTCCAGCAAGATTACAAGGGAAAGGAAACCACTTCCAGTTACAAGGCAATGGAATAGTATAGCTATTAGAGAATTTAGAGGGAATTAACTGTGGCTAGTGTTTAGGGATAGGGCAGGGGAATAGTAATTGGTGTGGTTGAAGAGTGGCAGAGGCGTTTTGTGATATGCAAAGAAGTTTAGAATTTGTATTGCAGATAAGATGGGGCCATCAAAGGTCTTTCAGCAGAGGCAAAACATGAGATTTATATTTTAGAAAGATTACACTGGTGGTAGTGTTGACAGAAGGTGGAAGTTGGACAGAAGGAGCTGAGAGTCTAGCTGGGGAATGGAGGGCTGCCGCAGTAGAATGATAGTCTGACCAAGACATTGGCAGTAGGTTAAGGAAGGAGGAGGAACTGAAAAGACATTAGAAGTGATCAGTTACATGAAATGTCATGAGGGAGGCAGAGTTGAAGGTATTTGCCAGGGAATAGAGGAGGAAAAATAAGATTGAGAGGGCTATGTTAAATATAAACACATATTTATATATCGTAGTATAGAGGATTGTCAAGACTGCATTAAAAAATTTAACAAGCTTTTTAGGTCTTAAGTGCCAGTTAATATTGGCAGTAAACATATGAGGAGGCTTTTAACTAAAAAGGAATTACACATGCTGTTCCTTTTCACTGTAATATTCTTCATAACCATGCCAACCCTCTGCAAAGACTATTTATTGTTCATAACCTAGTTAATTTTGTGATGTCTTCCTGATATCTTCCTCTCTTTAGTAGTCCCTTAAAGATGCAGAATGCTATTTGGTAATTATTATTTAATTGTATTTTGCTTCCCAAAAGAGTAGAGTAGAAAGAACGTAAGCTTGGGAGTCATATGGACCTGACATCTAACAACCTCTTCCATTATTAGACAGTTGATCTCTAAGCTACTTTTCACTGTAAAGTGAAAATAATACTTAATTTCATAACATGTTGAGTATTAAAATAACATGTAAAGTACCTATGAGAGAGTGTGCCATCCAGTAATAATTAGAGAAATATCAGGTACTATTATTTTTGAGTTTTAAGGGCGTGGGGATCATTAGTCATCTTTACATCACCAAAATTCCTAAACCAGAGAGGACTGAGCTGTAAACAGTGATTGAATGAATAAATATTACTTTATTTGATGAATTTGAATGGCATATTTAATTAAAACTGCCTTTTAATTTCATTTTAAAGCTAAAGGCACTTCACTGTTCTCTTATCCTTTTATTTATTAGGTATGAATTTCAGCCCATTAATTCCTTCCAGTTTTGGAGATTTTTCTCAGAATATCTCTACACCCAGTGAACAACAGCAGCCGTTAGCCCAGAATACATCAGGGAAAACAGAATATATGGCTTTTCCAAAACCTTTTGAAAGCAGTTCCTCTGTTGGAGCAGAAAAACCAAGGTACTTGATTATGAACATAATCAGTTAATTTCCTTAAGCATTCACATCTACATTTAATTATATAATTTGAAAACACAATTAGGATGTGTGTGATTGTTTGATTTGATGGCATTGGAAATGTGAAGCTTACAGATATCACTGGGTAAGATACCAAATATCTGCTGGTAACTCTGGTATAGGACAGGTTCAGAGTTTTGATCTAGGGTCACCTGGGAGATTCATTTTGGAAACACATTACCTGACTCACAGGGTGTCTTTTGTTCTTGATTTGATATCTATCTTTAAACCAGTTCACTCTTCATTGACTTAGAACTAGAAACTAATATTCACAGCTAGAGGCTAATTGTTAAGTGATGGTCCCTTCATTTGATTCCCAGCCCCTGATTAGAATCAGTTTCTAAAGCCCATCAAGATACAATATTGAGTACTATTTTGATTATAAAAACAAGTTTTGTCTGGAAAGTTGTGATGGTGCATGGTATTAATCCTAGTATTTTTTCTCTGTTTCTTACATTTTGTAACATCATGTTATATTATAATGTGATAATCTTCGAAAATACAATTTTTAACTCAAATAGTGTAAAAGATTAGGTCAGGCTAGTCACTTTTATAGCTAGAGAAATAATGTTTTTAATGATCATGTTAATCTAGAACATGATTTTAATACCCAGCTTATATTGTAATTGTTATTTACTTCAGAAAAAACTTGAGAAGGATGAAAAATTAGAAGTTGAGTCTAATACTCTGTCAGGAGTTACTTACATTTGCTTTTTGTAGTCTTTTAGAAATACAAAATTCACATTGCATTTTTCTTTAGCTATGTGACTAGGCATGTCTTAGGCTCTTAAATTAGCATTTTGACAATATTTAATTGTTAAATCATGAACTTTGGAGGATGTTCTAACAAATTAACCAGAAAGTCTTAGAATTCCAACTTTGTGTTCACGTTCAGGAATCCTGTGATTACCTTCCCTGTCTTTGTGGACTCTTTGTTTTAGTTGCCCTCACTATTGTTTCTGGTTGCATCTCGTGTTGCTCTCCGAGTGTCCTGTCCGCTGAGCCTCACAGTGTTTTAGTGCACAGTTGCCATTCAGAAATGATAACTGAATGTCTGTCACAGGCAGTAAGCATTTATTCAAAGCTTCAGTGAGTAGGCCTTCCTACTGGAAAGTTACTGCTTCATTATTATCTATGTTTTAAATATAATTGGTAGTAAAAATTTACTCAAATTTTACTTTAGTTATTTATATCATTTTTAGGATAGATCGGAATATTTTTTTTGATATTTGACCTACCTTAGATTAGATCTCATCTCTCAAATTCTTAACTGTCATAGGTGCCTTGAATTTAATGACTAGAAATAATAAGTCAGATGAAATCATGTAGTCTTACTCAAGAGTCAGAAAACTTTTCCTGTAAAGGTCTGGAGAATAAATATTTTAGGCCTTGCAGGCCATACAGTGTCTATCATAGCTGTTTTTGCATATAAGACATAGATAATATGTAAACATGAATGGGAATGTGTTTCTATAATACATTATTTACGGGCACTGAACTTTGAATTTCTTATAATTTACATGTTTCATAAAATATTTTCCTTCAACCATCAAAGAGTATAAAAACTATTCTTAGTTTATAGGCCATACAAAACCAGGCAGCAGACTGAATTGTCTGTTGTAGTCCATGTTAGGTTCTGTGAGAAAACATTTTAGACTTCTCACTCACTGCCTGAGACATTTATAAAGCACGTTGGCATATTAAGAATTCTGAGGCTCGGAACCTGTGGCTCAAGCGGCTAAGGCACTAGCCACATACGCCTGAGCTGGTGGGTTTGAATCCAGCCAAACAACAATGACGGCTGCAACCAAAAAATAGCCAGGCGTTGTGGTGGGTGCCTGTAGTCCCAGCTACTTGGGAGGCGGAGGCAGGAGACTCGCTTGAGCCCAGGAGTTGGAGGTTGCTGTGAGCTGTGATGCCATGGCACTCTACCCAGGGTGACAGCTTGAGGCTCTGTCTCAAAAATAATAATGATGATGATAATTCTCAGATGTTTTTCAGACCTCTTTAAGTTTGTTTTGCCTATTTTTTCCCAAACTTAACAAATGATGACTCGTTAAAATTTTTGTTTTTGAGGCAGAATCTTACTCTTTTACCCCAGGCTAAAGTGCTGTGGAGTCAGCCTGGCTCATAGCAACCTCAAACTCTTGGGTTCAAGGAATCTTTCTGCCCCAGCTTCCCGAGTAGGTGGGACTGCAGGTGCCCACCAAAACGCCCAGCTGATATTTTCTTTTCTTAGCAGAGTCGGACTCTTGCTCAAGCTGGTTTCAAACTACTCATTAATACTAAGGGATGCTAGTGTTCAAATAAAATTTGTGAAATGACACTAGACTAACAGTACCAAATTAGACTTACTGAGTGGAGAAATAAATTACTAGTTGAGTGACTGGTTGTTTTCACCAAATTCTGGTTCTATTTGAACTGCTTTAGGTGACACAGATAACACGTTAAGGTCCCAGACCCTCTGCTACAGCTCTTTTCTAGCCACTCTTCAGTGTTTTCTTTTCTCGTGTGTTCCATCCTGCCTCTCCCCCCACCACCATTTTCCATCATGATTTTGACATAGAACTTCTGCCAGTGAAAATGGTTCAGTGAGTAAAAATGGTTTAGTTTATAATTAAAGCTTAATGTAATGTAGTACATTAGCCTATGTAATATGTATTTGCATACTTTTGTGTAAACACTTTTATAGCCTGTTGACTGTTTTATTCACCTAAATCTGTTTATTAGTGAACTGTCTAATAGGCTTATCTGGAATTTTCAGTATATAAGGAAGTCTGTAATTAATAAAAACTTGTTGCCATTGTTAAGGAATCAAAAATCACCTGAAGAGGACGTGGACAGCAGTAGGACACCATGGTTATATGACCAAGAAGGTGAAGTAGAAAAACCATTTGTTAAGACTGGATTTGCAGTGTCTGTAGAGAAAACTGCAAATAGTAACCGTAAAAATCAATTAGATACAAGCAGAAGAAGACACCAGTTTGATGAAGAATCATTAGAAAGCTTCAGCAGTATGCCTGATCCCGTAGATCCATCAACAGTAACTAAAACATTCAAGACAAGAAAAGCGTCTGCACAGGCCAGCCTGGCATCTAAAGATAAAACTCCCAAGTCGAAGGGTAAGAAGAGGAATTCTACTCAGCTAAAAAGCAGAGTTAAAAATACTGGTGAGTACTGAAACTTGTTGAATGTTGATCAGCATGAATGTTAGTAATCTGACTCTGACATGCTGACACTTTTAATTTCGTTATGGCCAGATGAGCAGATGCTGTTGTAGATCGTTTTAAATTACCTTTATAATTTTTTTCTTACAAATATTTCAGTATTTGAATTGGGCTTAATAGTGTGGATTAATGTTGCAAAACATGGCATTTATTTATTTTTGTGCTTCTTAAAGCTTCTTAGTTTCTTATATATGAAGGCTATCCAGAAAGTATCCAGCCATGCAGTATGAAAAACAGTCTTGGTTCCGTGCCTGTGGCTCAAATGGCTAAGGCACCAGCCACATACACCTAAGGTAGCAGGTTCGAATCCAGCCTGGGCCTGCCAAACGATGACAGCTGCAACCAAAAAAATAGCCGGGCATTGTGGCATGTGTCTGTGGTCCCAGCTACTTGGGAGGCTGAGGCAGGAGACTCGCTTGAGCCCAGGAGTAGGAGGTTGCTGTGTGCTGTGATGCCACGGCACTCTACCCAGGGTGACAGCTTGAGGCTGCGCCTCAAAAAAAGAAAAAAAAGAAGAAGAAAAACAGTCTTAACAATGCCTAGATACCTTCCAGGCAGCCCTTGTATGTGAGCTCAGAAGTTGGTCTTCAAATTTTGTAGGTTATTAAAAAATCGCCAGAAATGCCCAAGTTTTACTATTCTTCCTTTTGATGCTACATCTGATTTTGCATATAGTTTTTTAGCCATAACTAAGATTCTTGATTAACTCATTTAAAGAAGTGTGGACTTCTAAATACGTTGCAGCTTTTGAATACCATATAGATAAAACGACTTTTAAAACAGGTTTGCTTTTAGTCCTTCAGGAACTAAACCCATTTTGAGTATCATATTAAAATTTATGGTGTTAACTGTGTGTCTTCTTAAAAAATAGATAAATATTCAGTTTTTATGTGATTTATAACTATTAATATTCACAGCTGAGTATAACAGTACTGTGATTACTTTTCTTATATGCTTCCCCTCATTAGGATTAATGATAGCCTCATTTTTCTGTTCATATTTTGTTCATATCTATGAATTAATCACCTAACTCTAAGGGGAAAAATACCTATATATATATATATATATATATATTGAGACAGAGTCTCACTATGTCACCCTTGGTAAAGTGCTGTGGCATCACAGCTCACAGCAATCTTAAACCCTTGGGTTTAAGCAATTCTCTTGCCTCAGCCTCCCAAGTAGCTGGGATTACAGGCACCTGCCACAACGCCTGGCTATTTCTGGGTTGCAGTTGTCATTGTGGTTTAGCAGGTCCGGGCTGGCCTCGAACCCACCAGCCTCAGTGTATGTGGCCAGTGCACTACTCACTGAACTGTGGGCACCAAGCCATTTTTTAATATATTCAGTTATTTCAAATATGTGTCATTTATCTTTTCCTGGGACACCTCCCTCCTAGAGTTCACCTTCCTTCTGCTCCATTCTGGACTGTTGCTTTCTTGGCTTGCTGCACAGCTGTCATCCTGTAGATCTTCTTTCATCACAGTTCAGGGGATTCTTTTTACCCTTCTCTGGCTTTCTTCCCCCATTTTTTTTTTTTATTACTTATTTATTTATTTTAGAGACAGAGTTTAACTTTGTCACCCTTGGTAGAGTGCCATGGCGTCACACAGCTCACAGCAACCTCCAACTCCTGTCTTAGGTGATTCTCTTGCCTCAGACTTCCAAGGGACTACAGGCACCTGCTACAATGCCTGGCTGTTTTTTTGTTGTAGTTTGACTGGAGCTGGGTTTGAACCCAGCACCCTTGGTATATGGGACTAGCGCCCTACCCACTGATTCCCAAAGTGCTGGGATTACAGGCGTGAACTGCCATGGCATGCCATACCCTATGGATATTTGTATAGATTAAATGTGATTCTCTTGTGTATTTTCTAGTATTGAAAACTTGTTAACTTGGAGTCCAGTAGAGAATTTTAGTCATATTAGGTCTGCTATATACTTTGATTTGGTATGTACTCATTAAGACAGATACTATGTATCAAAGAACGATGAAGTATTAGAATTAATATTACCCTGTGTGTCCAAAGGTTATTGCAAATATCTTTAAGACGTAGTATTACTGTTTTATTTTCTGCTTATACCCGGCTTTCATAACATTCTAAATTGAGTTACTTGTATTGTTTGACTGTGGAAATCAGTTTCCATTTTATACTTTAAGTTAGCTGTAGCTGGTAACAGTTGTCACATTTTTTACTCAAGGGTATGAAAGTGCCAGTATGTCTAGCACATGTGAACCTTGCAAAAGTCGGAACAGATATGCAGCCCAGACTGAAGAGCCTGTTCAAGCAAAAGTACTCAGCAGAAAGAATCATGAGCAGCTGGAAAAAATTATAAAACATAGTAGGTCAACAGAAATATCTTCAGGTATGTTCTTTTCTTTTTGGTTTGCCTTAATTTAAGGAGATCTTCATTTTACTGGAAAAAACTGTATTAAAGCAAATTTTAAAACTAGTCTATCAAACATTTCTGTCATGTAAGGCTTTGTAGTAGAGATGATGGTGTTCATTGACATTAAGAAATTAACTGGAAATTTTTTTTGGTAATGTTAGTTTTTGATACATTTCAATAAAAGTCTTTTCTAAACAAAGGATAGTTGACATTAATGTGGAACTCCTAATTTGAAATTCTGAAAATCTCATCTGAATAAGAATTAGATGTGAAATTATATCACCCACCTGCTTAAAACCTTTGGCTCATCATGCCTACAGGGTGAAGGTTGAGTGCCTTACTGTGATAAACATGGTCATTTGGGATTTTGTTTCTTCTTGCCCCTCCAGACTCAAACCACTTTCTGCCTTGAGCTTTATTCTTTTAGCAGCATTGAAGATTTTTTTTATAGCTTTAACACTGTTTTTCACCTCAGTAGTTATTTTTCTGCCTCAAGTCCTTTTTGCACTTCATAAGCCCGTTTTTCTTCGGAGCTATTAGTAAAATTTTAATTATGGAACCCTGAAATTGCATTCTAATGAAAGCTGGAATAGGTTCTTTCTCCTTTCTGTTTACAGTGTAGTCTCTGGAAGCCTGTTTTGTTGCTTGTATTATATTTACCAGTTTAAGTGTTTTGTCCCCATGCAACATACAAATACAGATAAGACACATACTTTTTCATATTTGTATCTTAAAGGTCAGCATAATACCTGACACATGGTAGGCTTTCTGTATTTATCAGATAAATGGAATCATATGTATTTACCACCATTCTAGCTTAAATAATTATCTGTACTTTATTGACTTATAAAGAATAAATACAACTCAAAGAAATATATATAGTGAGACAGTAAATATAGATTCATCGTCTCAATTGTCAAGACCCTTGGTGAAAAAACAGCTACTACCATTTGTATCATGTCTTACTATTGCAGATTGGCAAAACATCATCTTTTGAGCCTCATAATGTTGAGTTGGTTTTATTTCCATTTTCAGATGAGGAAACATGGTCAGAGAGGGTACCCGTTTTTTCCATCATTCATAAAGGGCTGGTGATACAAACTGATATAACTTTTCTGGCCAGCTACAAAAGTCCTGCCCTTAATCCAGTAATTTTACTTATAGGAATCTATGCTAAGGAAACCAAATAAGAAAAAGAAGTTGTGATTTAGTGTTGTCTAAACAGTATAATTCTAACTATGTATAAACAAAAATTTGAATTAAAAAGACTAGAAGAAAAGTGCGGTGCCTGTGGCTCAAAAGGTTAGGGTGCTGGCCCCATATACCAGAGGTGGTGGGTTCAAACCCAGCCCCAGCCAAAAAAAAAAAAGACTAGAAGAAAATGTATCAAACGAGGCCAGGCATGGTCTCTCATGTCTGTGATCCTAGCGTTCTAGGAGGCAGAGGTAGGCAGATTGCTTGAGCTCAGGAGTTCGAGACCAGCCTGAAGAAGAGGGAGACCCCATCTCTAAAAAATAGCCAGGCATTTTGGTGGGTGCCTGTAGTCCTAGCTACTGGGGAGACTGAGACAAGAAAATCACTTGAGCCCAAGAGTTTGAGGTTGCTGTGAGCTGTGTATGATACCATAGCACTCTCCCGAGGGTAACAAAATAAAACTCTGTCTCAAAAAAAATAAAAGAGAATAAATCAGAGGGTTAATAGTGGTTTTATCATCTTTAAGCTTGTCTATATTTTTTACAGCTTTTAAAATGAATAATTTTCTTGTAATCAGAGAAGAAGCATTACATTTGTTTGTGTTTTGAAATGACTTCCTAGATTGCTACGAGATGGTAGTGCTGAACTTTGAATCCTGATCTCCTGTAAAGTCCAGTATTCTTTTGGCAAAAATACCAATTCTGTTGTCTCAAACCCAGAATGTTACCAAAATTTTATATTTTTCATGTACTTTCACTACCTTTACCAAGGATAGTGGGTGTAGGTTGCGGAATGGCATTAAACTGAGAGGTTTAATAAATAAAGGTTCAATTACTTAAAAACTTAATATTTGGTTATAATAATTCAGACCTTATTACTGTCACTTGGAAAATATGATGATTGAATTTTGGTGAGTTTAAAAAATATTTGAATGGTGTAAATATATTTGTGTATATTTACATAGTCACATTCTAAAAAGATTTATTTTCAGTTTTAACTAGTACTCTAAATTTTTTTATAGCATGTCATAACTTTTTTTGTAACAGTATTCACAATATATGATTACTTGAATGTAGCAAGTATGACTGCTGGTATTAAATTACACAATTGTTTTCTCCCTCAGAAGTTATGGGAGGTTCACCCTGATGTGTATGCTTCTAAAAACAAATGATAGAAGTTTATTATGGTAGTTAATCATCAACCACATTAGTATAAGTTTATAAGAAACCCTTGGAGATTTTTTTCTTGAGGAAATTATTTTTAGGTCGAACAAAGGCTGTACCTTGTTATAATAAATAGTTCAGGCAAGCAGTTTTAAAGAAATTTGCTTATTTCTTTTTTTTCATTCACTTATTCATATTATAGACCCTATCTTTACTACTCATACACATTTTATGTTCATCCTTATGTCTGCCCTTTCCTACAGCACATGCTAGGAGAATACAACAGCAGTCTAACAGAAATGCATGCAATGAAGCGCCAGGTAACAATCTGCTTAGTTTTGGTGTCCACTTTTTATTAATTTTTTTCCATTGGTCCTAAAATCTTTAGTTTTATTGTTATGATTTTTTTAGATTTAGCTTAGTGTAATATGTTGTTGTAACTACTGTAAAGTGAAAGAAAGTGCATACTCATAAAATTCTGAAGCCTTACATTTATAATTCTTGGTTGGTAAAATTGACTGCTTTTCTTGTTTTCCCTTTCTGTTAGTGTATATAACCTAACCAGCACATTTATAAGGGTAATAGAAACTTTTTTATGATTTAATATTTAATTTGATATTTATTTTGTATTAAATGTTTAAAAACATTTCTTAGAAACAGAAATATAGTTATTTTTATATTATAGTTTATTTTTTATTTCCTATCAATGCCTATAAAAAATTAACAAAGACAAGTGTGATATACAAAAACTAGATAAACAGATCATGGAAAATTTCAAAGATTACAAAATGCTACCTTTGTTTCTATGTGTTTTTATTAAAGATATATAATTAGAATTGTATTTTTTTAACTCCTCCTGCAGCTGTGCAGGAGTGAAAAATAAAAGCCTTTTTGAATCTTTAGCTGGGAAACTAAAGAAGTAAAACAAGGATCCAGAACTAAGAAAGCTGAATGTATCAGTGGCACTTCCAAAAGAAAAGAACTCTGAACCTAGATTAAAAACAAGACGGGATCAGAGAAAACTGACTAGAATTAAGAGTTTTTCTAGGCACAGCTAATCAGTTTTAGTTCAGGAAGAAAAACTGGCATAAACTTGCCACCTGTTGACTGGAAAAGGGGAGGATGAAGCTTGTGTTTGGCATGATTTATTTTTTTGGAAAAGCATTTTTTATAATTTAGATTAGTAATTTTATCACATACAGAGATATTAAAGATGTCATTATATACACTTTGTATTTTATAGCTTTGAAATAAACATTTTTAAATTAACAACAAACTGCCATATAGTAATAAATTGAACATTTGCATATCAAATCATATCTTTTTATCTGGATTTATTTAATAAGATATATAGAATTGTGTATGACACACCTCCTGAGTGAAGGACTCAACTATAGCTGGAATGCAAACAATGTAACCTAATCAGATGTACCCTTATATTAATAATAATAAAAAAAAGCTCCAATGAAAAACTCCATAGGCCAGGAGAGAGTGAGATGACATTTTCAAAGTGCTCAAAGAAAAAAAAACTGTCATCCAAGAATTCTGTACCCAGCAAAGCTATCCTTTAAATACAAAGGTAAAATAAGTTTTTCCCAGACAAGCAAAAGCTGAGAATTCACCATCACCCCACACCCATCTTACAAGATGGGAATTCTTTAATCTGAGTGGGGGGTGGATCCAGTAAAGTGCAAAAAGAAAACATCTTCAGATATCGCATCATACTGGTTAAAATAGCTTTTTCAAAAAGATGGAAAAATGAATGCAGGTGAGAATGTTGAAAAGGGAACACTGTTGGTAGGAATGTCGTACAGTCAATATTAAAAACTATATGAAGATTCCTCAAAACACTAAAAACAGAACTATCAACAATTCAGCAATTCCACTACTGAGTATATATCTAAAAGAAGAGAAATAAAGAAACATCTGCATTCCCATGTTTATTGCAGCACTATTCATGATAGCCAGAGTAGGAATCACCCTAATAAGTGCCTATCAGTGGATGAGCCGATAAAGAAACTGTGGTATATATAAGTATACAGAATGGAATATTATTTAGCCATAAAAAGAATGATGTCCCGTGATTTGCAAAAGAATAAATAAGACCCACTGTTCAGTAGATTAGTAGAGTGATTATAGTTAATGATAATCTAGTGTACATTTCAAAATAGATAGAAGAGAGTAATTCAGATGTTCCTAACATTAAGATCAGATAAATAACTGATTCCAATGACCCTGATTTGATCTTTATACAGTATACGAATGTATCAAACTATCACATACACCCTGGAAATGATGACATCTATTATGTATTAATAAAATTTTTTAAAGATATATAGAATTATTATTAGATTTATTATTATATTTTAATGTTTTATGCTTGTGAAATTGAAACCCTGAAGACATAGAAGTACTTAGCTGTTTAGTGGAAAGTTCTTCCATTAGGGCAGTGGTCCCCAAACTTTTTGGCACCAAGAAGACAATTTTTCCATGGACTGCAGGGTCAGGGGGTAGTGTTAATATGAATCTGCAAGCATTTGGTTTATTATGGCCTCTGTGCAGTCCAGCCTTTCTGCTGATGATAATCTGTGTTTGCAGCTGTTCCCCAGCACTAGCATCTGGCTTCAGCTCAACCTCAGATCATCAGACATTAGGATTCTCATAAGGAGAACCTAGGTCCCTCGCATGGGTATTTACAGTAGGGTTTGTGCTCTGAGAGACTCTAGTGCTGTTGCTGATCTGACGAGGCAGAGCTCAGGCAGTAATGTGAGTTGATAGTAGCAGCTGTAAATATGGATGAAGCTTCGCTTGCTCACCTGCCGCTGACCTCCTGCTAGCTGCCTGGTTCCTGCCTGTGTTGGAGACTGTAGCATTAACACATATTCCTTTTGCATTTTCTTATTCCTCTCTTACAAAAATGAATTAAGTCTTTATGATCTTTGTACACTTATTTGAGAGCACAATATGTAAATACAGTAAATACTTTAAATTCTTTCTTAGAAACTTATTATTGATTTTTGTCACACTTGAATCATTTAACTAGTTATTTGTGGTTCAGTATTGCTCTAGAAGAGTTTACAGAATTTGACAGCTATAAGAACAACTTGGAGATTGTTTTTCCATAGAGAACTCAAAATGGGAACTGTTAGTTCCTAATGTATATTAAATTTAAGGGAGTGCCTGTATACCTTTAAGAGTGATAATTCTATGTTATCAACAAGTACAGATAGCAGAATTGTAGCTGAAGAGTAGAGTGATGTCTAGATTTTGTGAAGCTGAAAACTTCTCTCAGATCGGTGAATGCTCCAATTTATACCGATGCTCCTTATTTATGTAAATGAGACTATAGTGAAATTGCCCTATTTTGTTATAGTTAGATATTTATCAGCACAGTTCTGCATAATACATGAAGTTTGAGAATTAGCAGACCAAACGAGATGGTTCTTATAGTAGTCTTCATTGGCAGCATTCAGTTCATTCTATTCATCATCAACAAAACAAAAAAGTTTCCTTTTCTGTAATTAAGTTCATATTAAGAAAAAAAGATAGGCTCGGCGCCTGTGGCTCAACTGGCTAGGGCGCCAGCCACGTACACCTGAGGTGGCGGGTTCGAATCCCCAGCCCGGACCCGCCGGACAACAATGACGGCTGCAACCAAAAAAAAAAATGGCCGGGCGTTGTGGCGGGCGCCTGTGGTCCCAGCTGGTTGGGAGGCGGAGGCAGGAGACTCGCTTGAGCCCAGGAGTTGGAGGTTGCTGTGAGCATGATGCCATGGCACTCTACCCAGGGGGATAGCTTGAGGCTCCGTCTCAAAAAAAAAAAAAAAAGAAAAAAAGATAAATTATTTGCATTTAGCTTATTTCATTCAAGTGCTGAAAAATTTTCACATACTCTTCTTGATGTGTATAAAATTTTCCATATATTTTATATGACCAAGAGTAACTTTGTCCTTAATGCTAAATAATGTTATTCATACATTTAAATAGTTTTTAATATACTTGATATTTTAAATTTATATTATCTTGGTAACTTAAAGTTGCTTTTTCTATTGTAAGAGCCCTGAAATAGAATTGTGTTCTGATTTTTAAGTAATTTAAAGCTGAGAGTAATGATGCAAGCTAATAGAAATTGTCATGAAGGTATTTCGTCAGTATTAATTTACTCTTTTTTTATATGTTCCAGAAACTGGGAGTGATTTTTCTATGTTTGAAGCTTTGCGGGATACTATTTATTCTGAAGTAGCTACATTAATTTCTCAGAATGAATCTCGTCCGCATTTTCTTATTGAACTCTTCCATGAGCTTCAGCTACTTAATACAGACTACTTGAGACAGAGGGCTTTATATGCATTGCAGGTATTTGGTACATTCTTTTTTTTCTTATTTGTTATTACCTTCTTTGTGATTATATCTGGTTACTTTCTTAAACTGAAGCAAATTCTTGTTTCATGACCTGTTTTTCTTTGTGCTTTCTTGACATTTTATTTAAAACTTCATGTATGATTTAAGAAAGTTTAGATAAAGTTTCCTTTTGAACAGTTTTTCAGTGTTTTATATGTAACGTTATTTCTTCCTAACACTTAGCCTATGAGGTGAGAAGTATTGCATTTGTTTTTCTATCTGCTTCTGTTTTTAAATTTGTGATTTACTTACATGTTTTGCATAGATAACTATCTTATTTCCTTATTTAGGACATAGTATCCAGACATATTTCTGAGAGCCATGACAAAGAAGCAGAAAATGTAAAGTCAGTGAACTCTGGTACCTGGATAGCATCAAACTCAGAACTTACTCCCAGTGAGAGCCTTGCTACTACTGATGATGTAAGCTGATAATTAGTGAAATGTAGGCATAATTTCAGTATGCAGTAAATAAAAGTTAAATAGGTTATTGTCAAATTGTGAGTATATCCAATGTATTTGATTTTTAGCTTTTTTAAAAAAGTTAGGTATAACTTTATTTCAGTCAAAATAAGGCACTAGACCCTAAAAATAATGTGAAAATGATGGATTATGAGGTCTAAAATAGTCATTTATATTGTCATTACTCAACATAGGGGCTAATTCTTAACATAATTTTTAATAAACATGTGTTTAAACCACTTAACAGGGTAGCACCTGTGGCTCAGTGTGTAGGGCGCCCGCCCCATATACCGATGGCAGCGGGTTCAAACCCAGCCGCGGCTGAACTGCAACAACAACAACAAAATAGCCAGGCGTTGTGATGGGCGCCTATAGTCCCAGCTACTCTAGAGGCTGAAGCAAGAGAATCGTCTAAGCCCAGGAGTTGGAGGTTGCTGTGCGCTGTATGACGCCACGGCACTCTACTGAGGGTGATTAAGTGAGACTGTCTCTACAAAAAAATAAATAAATAAATAAATAAACCACTTAGTACAATCATAGCACAAACCCTTGAATAAATATGAGATAAATTAGGCCTTTTGGTAAAATCTAGACCAAAGAAAATCATCTAGGGAAAAAATGTAATTTAATGTATTCTAATTGATGGGGAAAAAAACTGAGTGGAGTATAAAGGCCCTGGAAATGGAAAAGAGTGGCGAGGAGAATGACAAATTCAGTGAACTTTGTCCTCCAGATAACATCCAGCACATAGCTGATTGAGTGGCTGAGAAAACTGCTCATGTATTGGAGGCGATAATGTGCTAAGGATTTGGGAATTTCTTTCTAGAGGTGAAGATCTTGATTTTCTTGTGAAATACTGTATATGGTTCTGGGATGGCAAATACATTTTTTTGTCATGACCACTCTTGTATCTGGAGACTGATGGGTTAAAGTATGTTGATTAGTAAATAGCTGCTGTTGGTAGAGTTGGAGTCACATTACTGTGTTTCTGCCATTCTTGAAATGCTAACACAGTAAGTTTTTCCTGAAACAATCGTGTTTTCTCAAAAGATCATCATGTCTCCTTTTCAGATACAGTAATTTTCTTATAACTATTGAGACTGTTTCTGAATTTCTGTTCTTTAGCTTATACTTGCTTTTAAAATAGTACTTCCCCATGTCATCTTTTCTGCTTAAAATGTTTTTCTATTGGGCTCCAACTCCTGCACTATTCTGATCCTCAACCTAATGTCTAAAAACTACATGATTTTAATTGACTTTACAATGGCAAATATAAATTAGTATAAGTAATTGGTCCTTTGGATTGTTGTTATAACTAATTAAAAATTGTGTACCAATTTTTGTGGGAAATGAAATGTGCTCCTACTGACTACCTAAGGTAGATGCTGAGTGATATGAAGGTTTTATGGACAATAAAATAACTAATAAATTGGGAAAGAAGGAATAGTCTCCATTCTTATACGTATTTTTCAGTTATTTTATACTCACAACTCCATTGCTTCTCCTTTTATCCAAGTTTCATACAGGCAGCATTACTTCTATTTTAAAAGATCTGAGCACATTGGTCTATACCATCATTAGCCCATTTTAAAAATTTAGGATAAAGTTAACCTGAGAAGGTTTTAAAGTTAAATGAAATTTAAAGATGATGTGTTATTCGTGATAAATAAGGACTTGGGGTAATAATTGTATTTTGTATTGCATTTAAATAACTAAATAAATTCTTTAATATTTCTTATAAAACTTGAACGTCATCATCTTCTCTTTACTAATGCCATTTAATCAGCAGCAGCACAACATCTGGTGTTTGTACCCATTGATGTAGAGCAGCACAATCCAGTAGAACTTCCTATCGTGATAGAAGTGTTTTGTATCTACACTGTCTAATTGAGTAGCCATTAGTAGCAAACACGTGGAATGTAGCCGTTGTGACTTAGGAACTAAATTGTAAATTTTATTTAAATAGCCACATGGTTAGTAGTTACCAAATCTGGAATCTTAATTTTCATGCTTCTGGGGCAAGGTCCTTTGAGCTCCATTTGTGGAGCTTTTACATATACATTGAATTGAAGATGCCCAAGGAAGAGAGAAATGAAAGTGAGAATGGGCACCTGGGAGTTATAAGTTAAGGAGGATGTAGTGGAGGAAGTAAGGTTTAGGAAAAAGAAAAAACAGTTTGTATTGTACCTGTAATAAAATGGTAAAAGCTCATCTACTTTCAAGTCTTCCTTGAAGTAGCAACAAAATGGTTTACCTATTTCTTGAAATATGTTCCCTATATTCTTGAATTTCCTTTAATTAGGGAAAAATTTTTTAGTTCATAGTTGAAGATAGAAAAAAACAATGAATAGCTAGGAGAAAAAACATAATTGTGAAATGTTTCAATCAAAATATAAGTGAACACTCCCATTCACACTATGCACAAAATTAGTTTGAAATTAAAGTTCTGTAAAAGCTAAAACTGGAACGTTTCTAGAAGAAAATGGGAGGAAATGTTCATGACTTTGACATTGGCAAAGGTTTTCTAGGATATAGAAAGCACTAACTGTAGAAGAAAAAATTGATAAATTGATTTCACAAAAGTAACTTTTTGCTTTGCAAAAGATACTGTTAGAACATAATCCTAGTACATATATCTGACATATGTCTTGTATTTGGATGACATAAAGAAGTCTTAGTAATATAAGTATAAGACAAGCAACTCAGTAAAGCATGGGCAAGAGATTTGAACAGGCACTTCATGAAAGAAGATGTGTAATAGGAATGACTACTATGCAAATTACAGCCACACAAAATACCATCTGTCAGCCGTAAGAATGGCTAAACTGGGTTAAAAAGATTGACAATAAGAAGTGTTGGTGAGAAAGTGGAACAGTTGGAACTCTCATATTACTTGTGGGAATGTAAAATTGCACAGCCACTTGGGAAAACAGTTGGCAGTTTCTTCTAAAGTTAAACATAAACTTTGCATGTGACCCAGCAATTTCTCTTCTAGGTATTCATCCAAGAGAAATGAAAACATATGTGCACAAAAATACTTGTACACTAATGTCCATAGCATCTTTAGTCATGATAGCCTCAAGTTGGAGCATCAACAGATAAATGGATAAGCTGTATCCATACAGTGGAATACTATTCAGCCATTAAAAATGGCGAATTTCCGAAGCCCACAACAGCATGGATTAATTTCAGGAACATACTAAGCAAAAGAAGCCAGACACTGAAGAACATATACTGTATGGTTCCATCTATATGAAGTTCTAGAACCAGCAGAACTGATAAACAGTGGTAGAAAGCATGAGTGGGGGGTGGTAGAAATTGACTCTAGAGGGGTGCAAAAAATTTCCTGGGTTAATAGAAGTGGTCTTTAGGGAATTGGTTACATGAGTGTGCACATTTGTCAAAGTTCATCAAACTGTACATTTAACATGGGTGCATTGTACATAAAATATATTTCAATAAAGTTAATTTTTTAAAAGAATATGAATGATGTCATGTTTTTGTTCTGATATCAGACAACTGTGATATAGTAAGGTAATCGACATTGTTAGGGTTGGTGATAACAAAGAGAATGTCCCTGAGGGTATAGAAATTACTTAAAATTTTAACTTCGCAAATTTAGAATTTAATCATTCACTGGCTTTGTGTATTTTATCTACATAATGACAAATATTCTATAAGTCTACTTAATATTTTTGTATTCCCTGTGACTCTGCATTCAACTTTTAATAACTGGTTATATCATAATCTTGTTTGGGTGAAGTATACATTTAACTTACAAATATGTCTTTTAAGTGTATAGCCTTATGCAAAGACTTAGTTTCCCTGTTAGATCCTTAGTATTCATTATACAATTTGTAAAAGAAGTAATAGTGATTTTGTTTGTTTATTTTACTGTAACTTAGGAAACTTTTGAGAAGAACTTTGAAAGAGAAACAAATAAAATAAATGAACAAAATGATGCTGATAATACTAGTGTCATGTCTGTATCTTCAAATTTTGAGCCCTTTGCAACAGATGATCTAGGTAAGCAGAATGTTTTATACCCTTAGAACATGACTTTAAGTAGATCAGATATAGTCTTCGAATTACATTGATAAGGAAACAAAAATCTAAAAAGTTCAGATGTCATCCAAAGAATGTAGACTTAAGTACATCAATTCTGTTAACTCTTTTACTGTGGCCAAATCATCAACCTTTCTGATTCTGCATGTACTACAGAAATGGGGATCTTATCTACCTTTTTTTGTTCTTGTGAAAAATACATGCATATGATAATGAATATGAAATGCCTCACTAGTATAGTATCTGGAACTTGTTAAAGCAAATTTTCCTTCCTTATGTTCTGACATTTTTGACATTATTTTTATTACATTTTTTGAAATTAATACATTTTGAGGACTACATGAAAAAGTTTACTGTTACATATTCTAAAATATTTTTGTTTCAAATACAGGTAATACTGTAATTCACTTAGATCAAGCATTAGCCAGAATGAGAGAATATGAACGTATGAAGACTGAGGCTGAAAGTAACTCAAATATGAGATGTACCTGCAGGATTATTGAGGATGAAAATGGTGCTGCTGCCACTACTACAGTTAATAATTTAGAAGGTGTGTGTTTTATGGATTTGAAGTAGTATCATAATTACATATAAAAAAGTTAAAGACCCTGCCTGGTAGGTATGGTAGTTTTACTACTGCTTTCTTAATTAGTAGGGGGTACTAAAATTACATAGATGCTTCTTGGTATTATTTTAGCATAAAATCGCCAGAATTTAGTAGTTAAAATTTTACATAAGGGCATATGTAAATTATAGGCTTTGTTTCGCTAATATGTCATTTTCTTTTTAAAAATAGAAACTCCTACTACTGAAAATCACAGTTCACAACAACCTGTCAGTGAAGTTTCTACTGTCCCATGTCCTAGAATTGATACCCAACAGCTGGACCGGCAAATTAAAGCAATTATGAAAGAAGTTATTCCTTTTTTGAAGGTAAGCATTATTGTTTTAAAAATAAATAAACTTGTTGTGTTTTGTTTTTTGATTGATACAAAAGAATGCATTGTAATAAATTTTGACAATAAAAGTAAACAAAAGGAAAAAAACCTATAAATTAGTCATAGTTTTGTTCCCCAGAAATAGACCTACCAACATTTTATGAGCTTTCCTATACTGTATACCAGAAACTTCTTCTTAACTCATTATTTTTCTATTGCATATTTTTTAATGATTATAAAATATTCCTATGTTATTTATTCAAAAATATTTATAGATGGCCTACTTTATGCCAGGTTTTATGGACATAGCAGTGAACAAGTCAAGGCTTTTGCACTCAGGGAGCTTGTATACTAGGATAGGAATAACATAAGTAAATGTAAAACATACAAGTAAATGTATATCAAGTAATGATATGTGCCATCAAGAGAATTAGAATTTGGTGATGTAGCTAGGGACAGTGGTCCATGTAATCAGTCCTAACATTCTGGGAAGCTGAGGTGGGAGGATTGCTTGATCTCAGGAGTTCAAGATGAACAAAAGCCCTGTCTTTACTGAAATTAGCTGAGCGTTGTGGAGTGCACCGGTAGTCCAGCTACTTGGGAGGATGAGTCAGGAGGGTCACTTGAACCTAGCAGTCTGAGGTTGCACTGAGCTCTGGTGATGTCACTGCACTTTACCCAGGGTGACAAGAGTGAGACTCTGTCTCAAAATAAAATAACATAAATAAGTAAATAAATACTTGGTGATATGACAGTGTCTGTTTTGGATTGCATAATCAAGGAAAGCTGCAGAGGGAACTTTTAAGCAGAGGTACAAATAAGGAGTCACCTTAAATCAAGATCATTCTAGACAGAGTGAAAAGGGCTAAAGGTAGGAATTAGCTCAGTATGTTGAAATAACTGGAGGAAGGCCTTTATGGTTGGAGGAAGTTTGTGAGATTATGTTGAAGAAGGAGGCAGGGCCAGGTTTCTAGAACATTTTTAGGCCCTGATTAGAAGTTTGGACTTTGACCCAGACAGCCCCCTCCCTTTGCAGGAAGTCAGAGATATCATGCCCATCATCCTACCTCCTTATAATAGACAAGAAAGACCGCGGGGGTGGGGTGGGGGGCGCCCATAGTTCAATAGTTAGGGCACTGGCCACAGGCACCTGGGCTGCTAAACAAACAATAACAACAAAAATAGCCAGGTGTTGTGGAGGGTGCCTATAGTCCCAGCTATTTGGGAGGCAGAGACAAGAGAATCGCTTGAGCCCAAGAGTTTGAGGTTGCTATGAGCTATGATGCCTAAGCACTCTATAGAGGGCGACAAAGTAAGACTCTGTCTCAATTAAAAAAAAAAAATACTGCAATGTTAGAATCAAACTCCACCCCAAAAGGGTGGATCTGCCTCCCGATACCCTACCTCAGCGGCTGTCCCACCTGGGAAAGGTAAATGGGCCAACCCCTACCCTTACAACAGATGTCCAACCCAGGAAAGGGAATGTCCTGACTCCCACCTTCCTGATCTTTAAATCCTTCTCCCCTTCACCATTACTCATGTGTGGATTTCGTCCCAGCCCAGTTGGAAATCTTACCCCTCACCTGCACCCAGGTGGAATAAAGCCATTTTAATTGCAAAAAAAGAAAGAAAAAAGTTTGGACTTTGAAAAACTCATAGAAGGTTTTAAGTAAGAAAGAAATAAAGTCTGATTTGCTTTGGGTGAATTGATTATAGGAGGTCAGGAGTGCAGTGAGATTAGATGGGAAATGACAGTAGCTTAGCCAAGGCCAGTGGCAAAGAAATAGATTATTGGGATATATTTTGGAAATGGATAGGTTCTCCTAGGATGGAGTGTTGGGAGATAAGTGAAAAAGAAGACTGGCTGAAAGGAAATAGGATTTACTGAAACAAATAATGCTTGGGAAAAGGGAGAGATCAAGAGTTATGTTTTGAAAAGAAAAAAAGAGTTCTGTTTTGGGTTTTAAATTTGAGCCATCTGTTAGTGAACCATGTAGAGAGGTCAGGTAGTCTTTGGTTACTCAGCTGATACCCGGCATAGTTGGAGATAAACATAGGGTAAGATGCGACATACGACCATGGCATCAGACAGGAGAGGAGAAAGGGTCCTAGAACTGGGACATGGCTCCCGGTGATCCAACATCTAGAGGTCAGGCAAAGGAGAAGGAGCCAGACTTGACCAAGAAGAAATGCCGACCAGTAGTTATGATTGAGTAGAATAGAAGTTTCTGTTAATTATTTTACCAATCCCTTTGTTAAGCATACATGTTTGTTATGGTTTCTTTTTCACTATTTTAAACACTTCTTCAATGATTTAACTAAATTTAAAAATATAATCACTTTTTTAAAATCCCCGTGGTCCATAGCAATGACTTTTATTTCTTTAGAAACAATTCCTAGATATAGAATTTCTAGCTCAAAGGGCATGGAGATGTTTAAAGCTTTTGAGACATCCTAAATTGTCGTTCAGAAAAATTAAACAGTTTATATTTTTACCAGCAGTGAGAGTATCAGACTGGTAAACAGTACTATTACTTTTATTTAATAATATTGATGAGAGCAGAGAAAGAAGTGTGTGAAAAATGGAATAAGAAGACAACGTTTTGAGATAGTACTCTTTCATTCTGATTTAAAATAGAAATTTAAAAAATTTGAAGTGAATTTTTTTTTATCCTAATAAGGGAAACTACAAAATACATTGTCATTGGTCTCATTTCATATTTTGACAATAAAGAGTTCTTTGCACTTGTATTTCCTCCTTCTGTGGAAGTTATTGCTTTCTTTGGAAGGTTTTAATAGAAGAGCAATCTTTGAGAAAGCATTTGTAGCAACTACTTTTTCTGAAGATGGAACAGAGTATCTGACTTTATAGCCTATCTTATTGTACCTAAATTATTCCATGCAAAAACAGAAAAACTTACCCCTTTTCAGAGCAATTGCAGCAATTCCTAAATGGTCTTAACTGTCTCTGTTTGCTGCATCTTCTAACTTTCAGGTCTATGCTAGTCTTGTTAATACTTTTAATGCCTGAAGGGTGGTAGGGTCTGGTAGGGTGATGCCTCTGACTTTGTTTTTATTACTTAGAATAGCCTTAGCTATACAGGGTTTTTTCTGATTCCATATAAAACAAAGTACTATTTTTCCACTTCTTCAAAATGCAATGTTGGTATTTTAATGGGGATTACATTGAATCTGTAGATTGCTTTGAGTAGAATAGACATTTTGACAATTGTTTCCAGCCAAGAGCATGGTATATTCTTCCATTTGTGAACTGAGAAAAGGTTATGTGATTTGCTTAAATAAATTTAGTTGGAGAAGAGGGATTAGAACCTTGAGATTAATTAATATAGATGATTTATAGACTCAACTCAAAGTTAACCATGATTTGGATTATTTTATAGTTTACACATGCTTCTAAAGGAAGATTAAGAAGAGATTTACCTCAAGTGGCTTATTAAGAAAGTTAGGGGGTGATGTTGACCCTCAAGATATTTCACAATGTGTGGAGGCGTTTTTAGTTGTCAAGATGATGTGGATGGGGTGGTGCTGGGAAACATTTTACAGTGCATAGAATGTCAGTGGTACAGAGGTTGAGAAACACTAAATAAGAAGATAATAGCCACAGAGTGCGTATGGTTATAAGAATAATTGAAATTAACTGAACTACAAACAGGAAACTAGGCAAAATGAACACTTTGGTTTGGCCAGTTCTCCTTAAGGTATAAAAAGGAAGTGATGAAGTATTGGATTAACCCGTTCTTTACTGGCAGTTATCGGCAATGGTGGGTCAAAATTGCCAAACTTCTCTCAATGTGTGTAGGGTGGGAGTTTGGCTTTTCTTATAAACAAGTGTTTCTAAATATATATTTGAAAATAGAGAAGCATGTATGCAAGAAAAGTAAAATTTTGTATTATGTGGATTAATATGTATTTAAATAATAGGTAAGTTTATATCCTAATCGACTAGGATTTTTCTTAGGAGCACATGGATGAAGTATGCTCTTCTCAACTTCTAACTTCAGTAAGACGCATGGTTTTGACGCTTACCCAGCAAAATGATGAGAGCAAAGAGTTTGTAAAATTCTTTCATAAGCAACTTGGAAGCATATTACAGGTAAGAGTTACCTTGTGTATGACTTACCAATATATACCATGTGGTGAGGGGTTTTATTGGTGGGGGCCATTTTCTGACATAACACAATTTATGCAGGTAAACTTCCAGGTTAGCATTCACTTAGGATGACGTTTTAATACTTTTCAGGTTAGTCCTTTAATTGGGTTAAAAAATTTTTGTTAGAACCTGTCTCAGTCTTCAAAACATGATTATTTCTAAGGTGTGTATCAGCTCTTAAAAATTTTATTGGTTTGTTTTTTCTCCTACTTAAAACATTTTGAATTTGAAGGATTTAAAAAGTATTCTCTGACTTTTTTTCTACAGTAATTCTGGATTAATCTGAGAGATTTTAGAAGCTAGAAACCAACTTCTGATTAGAGAGCCTTTTCAGGATGTAACAGTAACCTTAAATTATACAGGGTGGCGGCTTGGCCCCTGTGGCTCAAGCGGCTAAGGAGCCGGCCACATACACCTGAGCTGGTAGGTTCGAATCTAGCCCGGGCCCACCAAACAACAATAATGGCTGCAACCAAAAAATAGCCAGGCATTGTGGTGGGCGCCTTTAATCCCAGCTATTTGGGAGGCGGAGGCAGGAGAATTGCTTGAGCCCAGGAGTTGGAGGTTGCTATAAGCTGTGATGCCACAGCACTCTACCCAGGGTGACAGCTTGAGGCTCTGTCTCAAAAAAAAAACTCAAAAAAACACATTATACAGGGTAGCTATAAAATAGACAAGTATTTTAATTTGCACCCTAACTTTATGGCCACCCTGTATTAATAAGGCTGTGGTTCTCAACTACGGGAAATTTCGCCTCATAGGAGGCATTTAGCAGTGTGTGCAAACATTTTGTTTACCACAGAAAGCAGGATAGTAAGCAGGGAGGAGAAAGGGAAGGGCAGGTACTGTGATTGAATGGGATGGAGGCCAGACATCCAGTTAAATGTTTCACAATGCGCTGGACAGTACCTCACAGATAAGGATTACCTGGCCCTGAATGTCAGTAGTGGCAAGGTTGAGAGATCTATGTTAAGTAAGCTTACTTTATTTACCCCCATAACAAATATCTTTACCTTTATATTAAAATATTTACCTGAATATTTTCCCATTGAGATAGTTCAATGATGTGTATTGCTTACTCCAAATTAGACAATACATTTTTTCATCTATATTACAAAATTTTCTTATGAAATGTTGACTTTTATTCTATTCGTGTGTTTAAAGTGATTTTAGATACAGTATAATCACTATCTGATAACTGTTTTTAAACCCTAGGCTTGATGTAAACTTTGTCAATATAATTTTCCTTTTTTTAGTAGTAATAAGAGTAAAGTGTAAGTTCAGTGTTGCTAAATTGTCCTGGCTTAATTTAATTGGATACTTAACACGTAAGGAATATAACACATGATTGGTGCTGTGCAGTGGAGGGATCCTGTGAACAGATCACTGGCACAGTTTACTGACAGAAAACCGAAAGACTGAGGGGAAGATCTTATAGAAATATCTAAAGTATTACACATGTTTAGGATAACTTTTAAATAAATGTATTTTATAAATTTTACTAGCTAGTTTATTCCTATGTAAAGAAATAACTCCATTTTAGAATGAGGAGAAAAGAAATTATTGAGAATTTAAATACTTTTTATCAAGATACTTCCTCTGTTTTACCTGCTATTATCATAATTGTAGGCAGATCCCAAATTAGTTAAACTGGAATTTTTTTCCTAATTCTAAGACAATTTGACTACTTTTCGTTTACCCTATCCTGATGTTTTCACAAGGGGACATGTTTAAAGAATGAAAGTTAATTTACACCAGAATATTGAAATTTTTTTATGAACTAAAGCTTAAATTCACTATTGTCACTATTTTTCCTTCTGAAACCTGTTCAGGTTTTTTTTTTTTTTTTTCCAGCACTCACCCAGCTTTCTATTGTACTTATTTCTGTTGTCATCCTAGATAAGGTAGTCTTTTGACAGGCTTTGATATTTGCCTGTTTTCTGAACAGCATAAGTCCATATTCTTAGGTTGAAAGAAAAGAGAAGTGATTTTATAAAAAATTGGTAGACTGTAGCAGACTTATATTTGATGATTGTCAATCTGGACCAATCAAAGGATCATAACCTACTTGAAATAGAGTTTATTTAAGCACAAAGTTTGAGGAAAGCCACTGAGAAGCACAGATACCAAAGAACGGAAGTCAGTGTTCTGAGGTGTGGAAGTTGGGAGTCATTTATCTCACTGTGTTTAGAGAAGTATAGCAGAATTTCAGCATCTTTCTATATAAGGCTTAATACATGGCTACAACAGTCTACTTGAAGTGGTCTTTTGGGAAAGATGCATTTAATATTCCACATGGAAAATGCAACAGTCCTGGGGACTTGTGTGCTGTCTTGTCTGACTTAGGTATAGGACAACAAAGCAGGCAGTTATACCACTGATCAGCATAGGATGAGGGGAGGTCTGGTCTCTGGTCTCCCTGAGTCATTTGCAGACAAGAATAATGGGCAACAGAACTTGTAAACATGCTGCTCAGTTGCCAGGACATCACTTCCCCCTTGGCACAGTAAATTTAGAGGATATTGAAATTTTATTTTATTTTATTTTACATGAGTCTTTATTTTAAGTTGAAAAGAGCTCAAGTTTACTTTTAAACTGGTTCTGTGGTCATGCGCGGTAGCTCACGCCTATAATTCTAGCACTCTGGGAAGCCAAGGCAGGAGGGTAGTTTGAGCTCAGGAGACCAACCTGAGGAATAGTGAGACCCTGTCTCTACTAAAAACAGAAAAATTAGCTGGGCTTCATGATGCGCACTTGTGGTCCCAGCTACTCAGGGTGCTGAGGCTTGAACCTGGGAGTTAGGATTGCAGTAAGCTATGATGATGCCACTGCACTCTACTCAGGTTGACAGAACAAGACTTTTGTTTGTTTGTTTGTTTGTTTGTTTGTTTCTCTCTTTTCAGAACAAGACTTCGTTAGAAAAAAACAAACAAACTGACTTTGAAGAAAAATTTAAATGAGAATGACTGATTGGTTTATCTTAAGTGAGAACCTTTAAAAGCACTCTAGTGGTATCGTTTAGATAGGGAAAACTTATTTTCCTCTCATTGACTGTACTGTCTGGAAACTTTCTTGGCATTAGGAATCCCCTGTCTGACTCATTTATTGATGCCCAGCAATTATATTAAAGTAGAGGCTAAACTTATAGATGACCATATATGTTCTCTTCCTCCCCTGTATGTACTCTTTAAGCAGAACTAACAAGATTTCTGCTTAGTAATGTATAGTAATATTCTTCTATTTTTCATGAGTAACCTTAGCCATTCATTTTAAAATTTTCAATATTTAAAAGTAATGAAATAGTTTTTCTCTAGGTAAGCATTTTTAATCATCTCTATTGCTCTACCCACAACTGAATTTTACTATAATCTTAAACTTATTTGGTCTTCTTTGAATAGGATTCACTGGCAAAATTTGCTGGCAGAAAACTGAAAGACTGTGGAGAAGATCTTCTTGTAGAGATATCTGAAGTGTTGTTTAATGAATTGGCCTTCTTTAAGCTCATGCAAGATTTGGATAATAATAGTTTATCTGTTAAACAGAGATGCAAAAGGAAAATAGAAGCGGCTGGAGTGATACAGTCTTATGCTAAAGAGGTAAGTAAATAACATTCATTTTGATTTTAGGATAGTTAGTACATACATACAGTTCTCAATCATTATTCATACTAATATAGTTATTAATAACTACAAACATGTTTTACCTCAGTAAAAGTAGATATGTTTAGTAATCAGTCAGATTGTAAATCAGTATATATGCTAGCTGCATTTCGAATTTCAGGGATAACAGCAGTGGCTAAAGATCAGGAATACAGACTGGAATTGATGCTAAATGTACATTGTCAGATAGCCAGTTTACATCATTGCCCCTTATTTGGGTCCCCAAAGAGGAGAAGAGGACTGAATCTAGTCCTTGGACAGTCCCCTGCCATATATGTAGAATAGGATTTGTGCAGAGGTCACTCCCAGCCAATACACAGTCTTGTTTTTAGTTCGGGGCTTTGGTTTCACGTCCCTGTAGTTTGTTGTACCTTGTCAGAATAGTCTTGATCACATGGGAAATTGGTGAGCTTGTTTCCTCTAAACTTGATGTGAACCAGGAGGCCTTTCCTATAGATTTACACCCTTTTCTTGCCCTCTTTTATGAGATGGAAAGCAGACTAGACCCAAACAGAAGAAGGTAGGGGCCCTTCTTCCTTAGAATCTAACGCAGACAAAGTCAAGCTATCTATTAAACACTTACCATGAAGTTTATATTCTAGATACAAGTAGATTAATTTCAGATAATTTTAGCCTTTGTTAAGAGCTTAAAGAAAATAAAACATCATAATACCATAGTAAATGATTGGAAAATAATCCAACATTTCATAATATTATAATCAGAAAGCAGTTTCCTCTCAATCTAACTTAAATAGACAATCTCATGAGTCTCTCTGAGGTGGTGAAATATGAGCTAACACCTGAAGGATAGGGAGTTCATAATGAAGATAAAAGGGAAGAGCCCTTCCATGCACAGAAAACTTAAGTGTAAAGATTCTAAGGTAGGAGTGGTTTGGAGAACAGAGAGAAAGCCAGGGAGGCAAAAACACATTGTATGCTAAGAGTGATGAGTTAACAGGTGGGTAAAGCCTAATTATGGGGCCTTAGAAACTATGGGAAGGGCCTTGAGTATGATGGAAACCCATGAGAATGTTTGAAATAGGAATGTCATAATCTCATGTACAGTTTAAAAGATTTGTCTGGATACCATATTGAACGGAGATTGTGGGTGAGTAGAGACAGACGGAAGCATGGGGATGAGTTGAAAGGCTGTTGGAGTAGTCCAGGGAAGAAGTGATAATTTGATGTCTTAGATTTGTAAGCAGCACTGATGTCATTAGTGTAATTGAGACTATAAGGCATTGTAGTAGTTTTTATGTGGATGATGATAATAAGCAAAGGCTGGTTCCTAATTTTCTAGCTTATGCACCCTGGGTGAAATATGATTTGCTGAGATTGGGAAGACTGAGGGAGGATGGGGTTTGGAGAGAAGGAAATGAAGATTTTTCCTCTTAGATATGCAAAGAGTGGTCAGGTCTGCAGGTTGCTTTCTGTTTTGTTAATTTGAAATATTTAAATAAAAGAGTTGAATTTACATTTTTAAGAAAGCATTTAGTTGTTTGGATGATGATTAAAAAATGCATCATTTTTTAAAGTTTACTGAATAAGTCTATTGCTAAATTCTGTTTAATTGGTTTACTTTATAGGCCAAAAGGATTCTTGAAGATCATAGCTCACCTACTGGAGAGATGGATGATGAAGACAAAGTATGTACTAATTAATTTTTGCCTTAAAAATAATGTTTTTGGGCTCAGCGCCTGTAGCTCAGGCAGCTAAGGCGCCAGCCACATACACCAGAACTGGCAGGTTTGAATCCAAAAAAATAGTTGGGTGTTGTGGTGGGCGCCTGTAGTCCCAGTTACTTGGGAGACTTGAGTTAAGAGAATCGCTTAAGCCCAAGAGTTAGAAGTTTCTGTGTGCTATGATACCATGGCACTCTATCCAGGGTGACAGCTTGAGACTCTGTCTCAAAAAAATAAATACATAAAATAAAAATAATGTTTTTGAAACAATAGTAAATAATTTTAGTAGCTTTAATGTTTTAGAGCAGCAGAGTATATCATCAAATGTTTACTGTCTGAGAAACCTTTTTCTTTTAAAAACAAAACTAGATGTCAGAGTTGTTTTTTAAAATATTTTTTCTTAGATAATTATTACTGATTTTTATGATAGACTTATGATATACCTTTTAAAAATGTACTCTCAGGAATTAATTACTCAAATTTATTTGTAACTAGGACAAGGATGAGACTGAAACAGTTAAGCAGACTCAAACATCTGAGGTGTATGACGGCAAAGGTCCCAAAAATATAAGATCTGATATTTCTGATCAAGAGGAAGATGAGGAAAGTGAAGGATGCCCGGTATCTATTA